CCCCCCCGTAACCCTGCCCAGTATTTGATTCAAGCCCTCCCACCACCCAATGGAATGTGGACCTCAACAATAATGACAAAAAGATTGCTCCTCCTGTTGGTTGTTCTTGTTAGATAAAGCCTAGCTGAGCAATATGCATGCAATCTTATAAACCCATGTCAAGTCACCGTGTTATAATGCTTTAAAATTGCAACAGTTAATCAAATTGCTTTTTTTTGAGGGGGGGGGAGTAATTTAAAATGAGGTTCCAAGACTTTGCAAAGCCTTGCGCATATGCTACAGTTTTTTTTTTTAAATCTGAAAGATAAATGGGTTGCTGACAGTTAACGAGGAGAGTGACATGTTTAAATTCAGTTTGGAAATTCTTCCCTATAGGCCATGGACAGATACCACTAAAAAGGAAAAAAAAAAAAAAACGAAATCCAAATTATTTAATTATATGGATCATGAAGAAGCTACTGAGCACTTCAGTGGCCTCTCCTCTCCTCTCTTCTCCTTTCCTTACTTAGAGACAGAAATCTTGCCAAACTAAAACAGGCTATTTCCAGTATAAGACATATACTCTGGGAATTATTAGGGTGGACCTGACTTCACCCCCTTTCACCCACACAAACTTCACTGTCACTTGCTCCTCCGGAACTGAACCCCTTCCTCCTTCATTCCACCACAGTCAGTGAGAGAAAGTGACTCACTGAAGTGATATAATGCTGCAGCTTCTGGAAATGTTTTTTTTTTTTAATGGGGTGGTGGTAGAGATCAAACAAAGTCAAAATAGTAGCCATAACTTCACTAACAAACTCGTTTTGCCCCCCATATAAAAAGGGGACAGAGTTTCGGGAAAAGGGGGTTTTTCTGGCTGGAGAGGGGGTCTGCAACACCCCCAAAACTCTGTCCGGATCCCCCCTGTCTTCAGCTGCCTCTACGGGGCAGCTATATCCCCCAAATCCACCCAGATCAGGGGCACCTCAGCAGCGAGCGCAGCAGGGATCGTGCAGAAATGCAAATCCCTGCTGCTGCCAAACTCTTGTAAACCGGAAGTCGACCATATATTTACATTCTAGTTAATCTGATTCATTGTTTTTTGCCACAGTGAGTCATGGTGGCGCAGTGGTTAGAGTGCAGTACTGCAAGCTAGTTCTGCTGATTGGCAGTTCGAAAAACACGGATGTAGACCCTCAATTTTGATCATATTTCTAACTACTAGCATAAGTAGAGTGCAGTACTGCAAGCTTCTTCTGCAGCCAGCTGCCTACAATTTGGCAGTTCAAATCCCACCAGGCTCCAGGTTGACTCAGCCTTCCATTCTTCCAAGGTGGGTAAAATGAGGACCCAGGTTGTTGGGGACAAGAAGCTGACTCTGCAAACCGCTTATAGAGGGCTGGAAAGCATTATAAAGCAGTAAATAAGTATAAATACTATTGCTATTGCCTATATACAAGGATCTAGCATTAAACTGGCATTCGATAAAGAGTTTTACAGAATTCAAGGGGAGCTGGGCTTTGACCATTTGCAGGAACATAATAATTCCAGGCTGATTCCTCTCTTGACTCTGCTGCATGTTTCCACCTCCCCTTAAAACCATAAATAAAATCAGGAGAGTGGCAGGAGAAGAACATAAAATCTTAACACAGTAACCAACATTCAGGAAGGACGTTTTCAGGGCCTATGAAAAATTAAACTTAGTGCAGTAATGGCTACAATATCCCCCCCCCTCAGCCCTTTTTTTTTTGCTCGCATCCCTGTGCATATACCCACGATATATAGTGTGAAGCTGTCCAAAGACACGGCTTGTGTGGCCAAAGTAACTCAAGGAAAAAGTTCCCTCTCAACTCTTTGATAGCTGAATAATTAAAAAGAAAAGGGATGTTATTTCCCAAGTTGCTGGTTGAAAAACTTGAAAGCAAAACGGGAAGATGCAGAGGCATTCTGGCACAGTTTTACTTTTAACTATTCACACAAGCATGTAATTTAATCCACTGTCTTTGCCATCCTCGCATTAACTGTTGTTTGCTGGGTACCTTCTTCTGAGCTGAGAAGAGGAAAAAGGAAACTGACAATCGCTTTATTGCAGACTGTTCCAATTACTTAGGCACTTGATGTGAAGCATAAATAGTATGAAGATCATATTAGAAATGTGTCAGGATATAAATAGCTGTTGACAGATTTCCACCTATGAGATACAGGAAACACATTGGCTGTTTGAGGGTTTTATCAAGTCTTCGGAGCCTGTATTAGACTTCTAGCGATATCGCTTGATATGCAAACATTTTTTTTTCCCTTCAAAGGTTTTTCATTTTGTAAAAAGTCAGCTAAAGAAATTATGTTTTTTTAGATGAAAAGAAAGAAAGAAAGAAAGGAGGTAGAAGCGGGTGGAGGTGGTATTGAAGCTGATAACAACCCACCAGGTATTCCTCAGGGGTTTCTACTTTTTTTTTCCTTTAAGGAAGCTGAAGTAAATTTAGCCAATATTGTTTCTGAACTCCTGACTTCAAAAAAAAAAAAAAAAGTATTTGGCACAGTGCCTGCAGAGTGACTTCTTATAAATTTAGTAGGGATGAGGGACTCTTTACGGGGTGTAATAAAAATTATGTACCCTAAACTTGGAGAAGGTTGCAAGGAATATTGCACTATTTTCTACTATATAAGCCACGTTGGCTCTCTTTTCTTTCTCATGCCCAAATATGCTGGGACATTTTAGACGGACTTGGTGAATAGAGAGTGTGTTATGGCCTGTCAGCTGCCAGCCCCTCCAGCGGCTGAATCGGATGAGGAAAAGGAGGTGAGGAAGTCAGGAACAGCATCAAGGCAACCTGAGAGCTCTGAGGGGGAAGAGGGAATGGAGCTGGCAGAGACAGACAGACAGAGGCAGAAACTGGGCCATCCGTCATCCCTCAGATGGAGAGTCAACAACTCCCAGGTCTGGAGGTGGCTGATGAGGAAGAGGAGGAATAGATTGGCCCAGTGCCTGACTTGTGGATGCGCAGAAGGCAGAGGAGAGGAGAGCAGTGGAAATCTATGGGCCAGTCCTTGGGATGGAAGAGCCACTGCTGCTAGCGAAGCGGTTCTAACTGCTTCTCTCCTTGATTAGTTTCCTCCCACTGCTTCTTGTCCTGCCTTTAGGTGCTTTGAAGAATAGCTTGACTCCCTCTTCTTTGTAGTAGCCCCTGAGATATTGGAACCCTGCTATCATGTCTCCCCTAGTCCTTTTTGTCATTAAACTAGACATATCCAGTTCCTGCAACTATTCTTCATATGTTTTAGCCTCCAGTTCCCTATCATATTTGTTGCTCTTCTCCACGCTCTTTGATTATTTTCAGGTGAGGATGAACCAGAAACCTTGGAGAGTTGTTGACACACAAGGAAGATGATTTAAGACTTGATAGCTCAATAGACTGACTCGGTTTTTAGAATGGATCTCTGTATGGCTGAGCATTGAATTGTGTGCAGAAAACAACTAAAACTCAGGACCAATGCTGGAAAAGACTGTTTTTAGTAGACGATGCTAGGTACCTTCTGAAAATGAAGATATCCCTAAGTGCCACTGAACATGCACAAAGGCAAAAAGAAAAAAAAATGATTCCGGGCTAACTTTAAATGTTTCTCTTCCCATAGCTTTCCACCCAATATGATTTAGGATGTTTTGAAGAATTTTCTGCTGACACTTTCATACTGTCGTGCGGAAGGCCAGTTCAGGGCCACCCCGAAGATTAGCAGATATGCCAGTCAAGTGACCCAGTTCACAAAAGAGCAAGGCTTCCCAATTCTCCAGCCATTGGATGCCATCACAGCAATGACACTCTGGCTCTGGAGACCCCACCATTCAGCGTGCAATGTATCCCAGTTTGTCTCCTTGTCAGAGGCTCAGGAGAAAGCTATTCGTCTAGCTTGCCAGCCAAAGGCTTAAAAGCTGCAATTTCAACCCAGCTGTGCTCAGAACTGCAGAAAAGAAAAAAAAAAGAAAAAAGAAAGAAAAAACAAGTGATTGTGTACATGAAGTTGTGAAATATATACTGTGAAATAAAGAAAGCAAGCACGCTTCTGACCAGAGGACTCGTTGCGTTAAGCAACCCATTCCTTCTTTGCTATTTTCAGAAGATGAACAGGTTAAAAAGAAAGAAAAAATCACCTCATGCTTGTTTCCTCTCTCCGACCGGCCTTTTGGTAGTTCCTTTAATACGCCTGCTAATGAATCTCAGGGATGTAATGAATTAATGAAAAGAAAGGTGGATTAAATGACTACTTTTCTGGCCTTAAGTCATCCATCAAACTGCACTATCCAGCCTGAAATTTCATTACAGGAAACTGTTTTGTGAATCAGTTTTCCCTCATTCATTTTAATTAAATGAATATTTATATATTCATTTTGCAGAATACATACATGTCCATAAATCTTTCACCACAGAAGATGGCAATGCAAAGGGGAACCAAATCTTGAATAGATATGTTAAATGGAAAGGTGCAATAGCATGGAAGAAGAAGGAAAAAAAAAACCTTTGCAAATGTTATTGGTGGTTTCACACAAATGGGAAAACCAAGATTTTTAAAACCAAAATTAGATACATGAACAGCAGTGACTTTGTTCACACGTAATTCTTAACTACAAGTTAATTCTTAACTTTATTGTCAGAGTACAACATGTATACAGTGAGATTGTCTGAGCCTCCCTTCATGCAACTCCCCCCAACAAAACTCACAGTGAGGACAGAAGCCCCTAACCCAGTCCCAATCTTATTATACTATGAGACCTTGTTGCACAACACGTCGGCCCTGCGTGTCTATCATACTAGGTTGACATGAAGTTATTTTCCATTCAGGAGTCTGACAGCCCACGGGTAGAAACTGTTCTTCAGCCTGTTGGTGCGGCTGGCTCTGCTTCTATATCTCCTACCCGATGGTAGGAGAGTGAAGAAGTGCTGACCGGGGTCTGAGTCATCCCTGAAAATTTTCCTCACTCTTCTAAGACAGCGAGCCCTAGCGAGGTCATCTAGTGGCATCAGGGAACATCCCACGATGTTTTGTGCTGTGCTCACCACCCTCTGTAGTATCTTTCTATCTGTGGCTTTCAAGCCAACATACCACACCATCATGCAATATGTGAGGATGCTTTCTATTGTAGACCGGTAAAAGGAGGTAATCAGTCGTGCACAGACATAGGGGAGGATCGCCTGCTGATCACCTGGTGACCACCAGTGATGCTGATAGGTAATCAATCTCCTGTGATGAGGAATTGCTGCCTCCTTCACTCAATACAAGGGCAAGGAGAATGGAGCATAGGCAAGTCCAGAGAAGGTCTGTGAGGCTACTCAGGAGGAGGCCAACCCACCCCTCCTCCTTAAGTTACTTCCCTCCAAGTGTAGCCTTGCAGCCCTTCTCTAGGCTTGCTTAACAGTGGTGGGATTCAATTTTTTTTTAACCGTCAGTTCTGTGGGCGTGGCTTTGTGGACATGCTTCATGCATGAATGTGCGCTTTGCGCATGCACACAGAGGGTTGGCTACTGACCTTCCCCTGTGTGGCAAACTGCTGTGCCATGCAAAGCAGCTGAGATTCAAAACCAGGAAATAAGGGTCAGTATAGAGCTGGGGTGGATGGAAGTCCCATCAGCTGATCGTTGGAGCGAACCAGTTCGTTCACATATGATTCTCAGAGCTACCGGTTCGGGTGAACTGGGCTGAACCGGTAGAATACACCACTGTTGCCTAAGCTCCACTCTCCTTGTCCTTGGATCAGTGGAGAAGACAGCTGTTACTCATCAGAGGAAATTGGCTGATCCTGTGCAGGCAGGCAGCTCTCCCCTCTGGTTGACCATCTCCCCCAATGCCTGAGGGACCCGGAAGAGCATCGTCCTCAGCCCTTGAAGTGTCAGAAGGTCCCAGTTCCAACTCCTACTCCTCTGAACTGGGCTCCGAGGGAGCCATGTTATAAATAACAGTTTTTAAAAAACCCTGATCCCAAGGATGTTATTTTCCTGCTCTCAAACAAACACCAGAGAAGCTGGCATGGCAATTCCCAGGAGATCAAATACATTTGAAATGCAAATGTTCAAATATTGATTTTTCACAGGCAATAAATATAAAGCCATGAAGTTCAACTCGTCTAAAAATGAGCACCTTAAATATTTATGAATTATCCATCTACTCGGTGTGAACAATAGGCAGGCCAGGCCTCCAGGACTGAAGTTTAGATATCTGTCATTTTGGAACTTGGAATGCTACATTCAGTACAATATCACCTTCCAAGTCCAGATCAAACAATCGAGTGCCTCGTAGACTAAACCAGCATTAAGTGACCCCAAGATTTCACCCCACTTCATTATCCACTTCAGTACTGAAACAAGGAATAGGTGGATTCTTTATTTCTTCCAATGCCACTAAATTAAGAAGTAGGTACAGTATATATGTGGGATACGGTGGCTCAGTGGCTAAGACACTGAGCTTGTCAATCAGAAAGCTCGGCAGTTCAGCGGTTCAAATCCCTAGCACCACCTAATGGAGTGAGCTCCCATTACTTGTCCCAGCCAACCTAGCAGTTCGAAGGCATGAAAATAGGGACCACTTTGGTGGGAAGATAACAACGTTCTGTGTGCCTTCAGTGTTTAGTCATGCTGGCCACAGGACCAGAAAGACATCTTCAGACAGCACTGGCTCTTTGGCTTTGTAACAGAGATGAGCACCACCCCCTAGAGCTGAAAACAACTAGCATGCATGTGTGAAGGGAACCCATACCTTTACACTATGTCTGTCAGGTCAACAGGAGGTTTTAAATTTCAGTCACATGAAATAATTATTTCTGCTCTAAATCAAATATAAAGACGGAATAAAGAGCTAGGAAGCAATTAGGAATGGGAATAGAAAGAAATAGAAATGAAAGGGGTTTATTTCCCTTCTACATCAAAATATCATCTTTTAATTCATAAATTCATTCCATCTCTTTTCTGCCTTAATCATATATTCATACAGATGTATGTTTAAAGTACATATTTTCAACTCAAAATGTACTTGTGCATCATAAACATATGTAAATGCATCTTTCTCAAAAGATTTGTTTCTACAAGTGTTTCCAGGAGAAAATACACATTTTTTTTTAATGTGTCGAATGCATTTAAACAAGTTGGAAATGTTCTGAATCCAAATGATTGTGTTCTGACCTGCACTTTCATCTGGGATGCGTGAATCAGATTTGTTATTCTCAAAATTCGTGAAGATCAAATTATTCAAATATTTCTAGAGGAGAGGTGAACTATAGAAGCTTTTGTTTCAACATGTTTTTTTTTTAGGGGGGGGCGGGGGAATGAGTTTCGGATTTGAAGAAGCCTCAGCCAGGAACAAACAAAACCACCAGGAAAATATGAATACTTTAGAAAGACAAACACATGTTTATCTCGTTCCATTTCCATAATATTACAAAAAATGTCCCTACGATCAAGGAGAGAAACAACCTAGAACTAAGGAGACATTTCCTGACAGTTACAAAAATTAATCAGTGGAACAACTTGCCTCCAGAAGTTGTGAATGCTCCAACACTGGAGGTTTTTAAGAAGAGACTGGAACAACCATTTGTCTAAAATGGGATAGGATTGAGGAGTGCGTTGGTCTAGAAAAATTCCAGCTGTGTTATCTTGTTCTGTTCCTAATACGTACTTTTGGTCTTCATGTAGCTCTTTATCCAATATACTGGAAACTCTGGGTCCAGTATAAGGTTTTGATGTACCTTTCCCTACATGCTTTTGGGACCATCTGTGCATGTCTTTCATGCATGAAGTCAGGGTTCCAACGGATGCCCTAATAAATTCATGAACCAAGTTTCAAAAGAAATTGAATTATTTATTAGGAGCAACATGTCGGCACTTTTCCCAAGGGCAGTCGGCTCTGCCTTACATAATTTACTGCCCACCTATGATCTTGTTTCCTCCCTCCTCCCAGGGTGTATCTTCCTTATTTTGCTAACCTTCACAGTACTTTAAATTTAACATGGAATCATTGTATTTTGGAGTTGCAAATAACCCCAGAACAATGTCTGGTCCAATTGTCTGCAACATGCAGGCAAACCAATTACAATATTCTAGACACCTAGCTGTTCAGCGTCTTCTTAACAATCCCAGAGATAGACAACACACATCTGTAGGTGGACTGTCTCATCAGAAAGTTTGCCCTTATATTTAAGTGAAATCTAGGTGGTCATAACTTCTACTATTATTTCCGTTCCTTGTTTCTATGGCAATGGAAAACACTTCCTGTCTTTGTTTTTAAAAAAAAACTCTATTATTTGCCTGAACATTTATATCATGAGTGAGTACCTCTCTTATTTTCTCCAGACTGAACACCCCAAATATCTATGCTCTTATAGCATGGCCTCGAGCTTCTGTATCCTCTTCATTGCTCCTCTTTTGAATCTTCTCTAACTTGTCAATAGCCATCTGGATTTTCATCTCTTTATTAAATTTCTGGGTTGCCTAACTTCAAAATTATTCTCAGTGGCTTTACAATGTGGTGCTTCCCCCATTATAAGGCCCAGAATTGTATTCCAGGAGTGGCAGGACAGAAGGGAATAAAGACTTCACACATTTTTGATATAATGCTTCTTTTCAAATAGTCCGGAAGCAAATTAGTGCAGGGTGCTTGGTGTTCTCTGAGCTTTGCTTTTTTCTTGCAGATATTTTATTACCCAAACTAGTAACATCATCAAGACTAGCACTGTTGATGTCCCCTGGTTTGGGTAATGAAACATTTGCAAAAAACAACCAAGCTCAGAGAACACTGAGGATCCTACAGTCCTCCTCCTCCTCTCCCTCTTCCTCTTCTTCTTCCTCTTCTTCTTCCTCCCTCTCCTCCTCCTCCCTTCAAAGTCCACACTCTTTTAGCACTGATGATGTTACCCAGTTGGGTCATGAAACATCTGCAAGAAAACAACCAAGCTCAGAGAACACCAAGGACCCCTCATTTCAACCCCAAGCTACAAATATTCTCTTGTATTGACAAATTAGTGCTTCTGGTAGCTGTCTTAACTCTGAGCCATGTTTCTAAGTCATGAATCCCCTATCTTAGGTACGTGTCTAAAATTTTCTTTCTCTTATATTGGTGAAGGGAGAAGGACATTAATCCATCAAATGAGGAAAATTAAAATATTTTGGAAGAAGCCAGGAAAAAAATGAACTGGAGATATTATATGAATAATTGACAGATTTAAAATATTTGAAAGGATGCTCTACAAAAATAATGAGATTTGCCACAGTTGAAGAGTTCTCTTCTCTGACTTTTTCATCAGTTGCAAAATAGGCAACATTAGAAGACAGATCTGAACCATCTGTTGGCCATGAGATAATAATGAAATGATCAGATTGTGTATTTTAATCAGGTAAGGTGAGAAAAAAGAATCCCAATATATGTAACTGCTCTGAATAAACTTGGCAATCCATATAAATAAATATGGATATTTTTTTTAAAAAAAGAAAACATTTCTTTTATCATATGCAATGAAAAAGAAAAGCCAGTTCTCTGGATATTTTAAAACCATCCAACCACCTTATTAGTATGCAAGTAATTAGGAGACAACAGACAAAAACAATGGCTTTAAGAAAATAGGGAGGACTAGTAGTGCTACAACAATTTTGTGCTTCAGTAAAGCTGTGATTATCGTCATCTCCCTAATTCATTTCCTCTTGAACAAAAATGCCATGGAGGAATTATTTGCAAAAATGTTCAGGAGTCCTTGAAATGAAAAGTGAGCTGGCTACATCAGCCCAGATCAAAAAGTTTTCCCAAACTGTTTTTTTTTTTTCCCATCAGGAAGATGGCTATGCAGTTGGAATCAGTTGGATATAGTTCTGATTGATTCCCACTGGATTACTGCAACTGGAGATCATAAATACGTTCAATTGAAAGTTCTATTGTAAAAGATTAAGCCTGCCATCCACGCAGTTGCTTAATCGATCAAGCTTGATCTAATTAAGCCATTTTGCACCTACAACTTCATCTTAAACTGTGGATTAAAGGTGGATGTGGTAGCTCCAGTCTCAAACCATCTTCTTTTCACACATAACTCAACGTTATAACTCATAACTCAAGGTTAACTGAACCAAACTTGACTGCAGAAAATACGACTTCAGCAACAGAGTGGTCAATGTCTGGAATACTTTACCTTCTTCCCCAAACCCCAAAAACTTTAACCTTAGACTGTCTACTATCAACCTCATCTCCTTCCTAAGAGGCCTATATGCACCAATCGTGCCTACGTCCCTGTCCTATTGGGTTTTTTTTTTCTTATAAGTATCTATCTTATGTATTCAAAACTATGTTTGTTCTTACACCTGTATCTTGTAAGTGATTGACAAGTCAAATAAATACTAAAAAATACTAAATGTCCCTGCTTTGCTTAACAACTAGTCTGATACTCAAACGCTCAATCATTATTTTACAACAATTTGTTGATATTAGACTGATTCCATAAAAAGCACTTAAAAAATGGTTTAGTAACGTTACTGCTTCAGGAAATGTGGGCTCTATTTAAGCAATTCATTAAATCCCCACAAGCAGAAGCCCTTCCTTGCATTAACAGTTGCTTCGTTAATGATTTTTACTCTGCAAAAATTGCAATCCATCTGTCTCTACACTTATCCCCTCTCAGCCAGTCTATGCCTCTGATGAAGTAGGTTTCTTTTCTAACAAGTCTTTAGTAAAGTGCCATCGACCATCGACCATTCACTTAATGCCAGGCTGATTGCTCACCTGCTGGATCAAAACCTTCAGGTTAAATACAACACCGAAATTTGGATTTTTTGAAAACAATTTCTAACTCCTCCACTGACAATAGAATTCCCTATGCCTCCACAATCTGGAGTTGCGCTGCCCACGGTCTGATCTAAGCATAGTACACAAAATTGTCTTCCCAATTCTCAGCCTGGGAAAAACTTTGTAGTGAGGCAAGATTGACAGCAAACTGTTTTTCAATTCAAGTAGCCACAACACAACACAGCAGAAAATCTGTCATTTGATTTTCTGTCTGATATGACATGTTCCTGCTGTTTTCTGAAGGGCTGCCACAAACTCTTGAACATGTTTGTTGTCTAATTTGTTTCACAACTCAAGCTCAAAAGTTCCTGGTAGAATTTCTTCTGAAACTAAAACATTCTTCACTGTCCAACCTTAGCTGATTTGGAAAAATTGCAGGCCGGTTACTAGCAGGGGGAATATAACCAGGGAATTCCAGAGTTTTAGGCTAGGCTAAGAAGTAAACAAAACAAAACAAAATCCTGAAACAGCAAAAAGAAAAGAAAAGAAAAGAAAATGATTTTGATATTTTTATTGTTGTAAAAAAAATGATGGTGCGGTGGCCTAGAGGTGAATACGTTTGCCTCCTGTTGGAAAGGTTGAGAGTTCAATCTTAGGCAGTAGCGGATGTTCCTCTATCAGGTTGCAAAGAGAAAATATCTGCTGCGAACTCCATGTAGGCAGCAGGAAGGGCATCCAGCCAGTAAATACTCAGCTCCATTCAGTTGCCCCAACTCCAGCCCAAATAAAGGGATTAAAGGGTCATAAAAAGCACCCACACACCCCAAAAGCACAACACTGATAATAGGTTCATAAACTCCCCGAGTAGAGCTCAGTTGGAATGAGACCTTTCTAGCTTTTAAAGTGAAGAAATCCAAATTAAAAGTTGATGGGATCCATATCCAAATTAAATTAAGATCCAACGTATTCCATGGAGGGGTGCTAATTAAAGCAGCCCAAACAAATGGATGGCTAGCTTATGCTGAGATCCCAATGAAGAGGACTTCATGTCTTCTCTTGATAAAGAATTCTACCATCAAATTACTCTTTCTTTTTAGAAAATCTTTCTCGGAAGATGGATCATCAACTTAAGTCCATCCTTCCATATCTTATGCAGTGGGAGGATAAAGATCACTGAATGACAAGTTCTGCTTGTGCGGATTTAAGGCAGTTGAAGATTTCAAAAAGTTAAATCTAATATGGGAGTCGGGGGAAGAAAATAAACCATTTAATGAATCGCAGAGCAGATCTCCTGCGATTAATATCAAGTAATGAAGAGATAAATAACCCAAACATAAAGTCAGCTCCACGTATTTGCATAAAATATATTTGATGCTTGGAGCAGCATGGTGGCCTTGAGGTTTAAGATGCATGCCTTCCACTTGGAAGGTTGAGAGTTCAATTCGAGGAAGCGGCAGATATTTTTTTCTCTCTGGGAGCAAAGAGGAAACATCTGCTGTTAGCTCTGCATAGATGCCAGAAAGAGCATCCAGACAGTAAATGATCAGCTCCATTCAGTTGCCTTAACTCTACCCCGAATAAAGAGATTAAAGGGTCATAAAAAGAAAAAAAAATGATGCTAGATAAGGAATAAGGGTAATTATGCTTGGAATATAAGAAAGAGCTCTGATAGCAATAGCATTTAGACTTATATACTGCTTCACAGTGCTTTTACAGCCCTCTCTAAGCGGTTTACAGAGTCAGAATCTTGCCCCAAACAATCTGGATCCTCATTTTACCCACCTTGTAAGGATGGAAAACTGAGTCAGCCTTGAGCATGGTGAGATTTGAACTGCCAAATTGCAGGCAGCAAGCAGTCAGCAGAAGTAGCCAACAATACTGCACCACCATGGCTCTTCAGATCAGGTCAAAAGTTATTTTACTCTAACATTTGGATTCTTACAATGTTCTGATTGCTCCAGACAACCTTTTAAGATTGTTGTCTTTATAGTTCATGATCCAGAAACACTTTAGATCTCTTTCACCTATGCCTATATGCTTGCAACATCTCCACTCGTGCCTTTGGGTCAGTCAGCCAAAATTAACAAGGAGCCATGTTAGATTAGGTAAAAAGTGAGAGAGAGAAAGAGGACCAAGGTTAATTTCACACTTCGACCTAAATGAACTGAACCAATCTTTGATTTAGCGATTTTCTCTCTCATTTCCCATATTTGCCTTTTCATTTTTAAAGATCGGTATAGCCATCGTAGACTGCGCAAAAAAGCCAAGATCACTTTGGATTGAAGTGACACAATCAACTTATAATTGACTAATCCTATTTTAGAAGGCAATTGTCTAACATTAAGAGAATCTCACAATTAACCCTGTACTCAGACCTGACCTGCCTTACACCTTTCAGCTGAAGTTTCAACATCAACACCTGCATATACAGAGGTAGACATCATTCAACATTGCAGTTGGAATATTGCAAGAAATGAAATTGGGTGAATTTTTTTTTTTTAATATGCGTGTACTAATATGGAGATGGCTTCTGTGCAGTGGGAAAGTGCACAGCGGAAAAAAGAGGACAAGTGGGAAAGTGCCAAGTGACAAAAGACAGTGGTGGGATTAAAAAAAAATTACTACGGGTTCTGGGACATGGTTTGGTGGGTGTGGCATGGCTTGGAGGGCATGGCTCAGTGGGCATGGCAGGGAAGGATACTGCAAAATCCCCATTCCCTCTCCACTCCTAGGGGAAGGTTGCTGCAAAATTTGCATTCCCTCCCCAGCCCACTGACCTGCTTTCCAGCTCTGGGCAGGTCAACCAAAGAAGACTCAGTTGATCAGCTGGGACTCAATGGGAGGTGGAGAAGAGATGGGGGAGGGGCCAGTCAGAGGTGGGATTTGCCAGTTCTCCAATCTACTCAAAATTTCCGCTACCGGTTCTCTAAAACCTGTCAGAACCTGCTGAATACCATCTCTGCAAGAGTAGTATTTGCATAATAGAATTCTTTATATTGGCCAAGTGTGGTTGGACACACAAAGATTTTGTCTTAGTGCAAATGCTCTCAGTATACATAAACGAAAAGATACATTCGTCAAGAGTCAAGAATCATCAGGTACAACACTTAATAATAGTCATAGGGTACAATAAGCAATCAAATCATACTAGGAAACAGTCAATATATAATGAATAACAGAGTTGGAAGGGACTTTGGAGGTCTTCTAGTCCTACTCCCTGCCCAAGCAGGAAACCCTATAACATTTCAGACTCCAGTGGTGGAGCAACCACAACTTCTAGAGGCAAGTCGTTCTACTGATTAATTGTTCTAACAATCAGGAAATTTCTTCTTAACTCTAGGTTGGTTCTCTACTTGATTAGTTTCCCTCCATTACTTCTTGTCCTGCCTTCAGATGATTTGGAGAATAGGTTGACCCTCTCTTCTTTGTGGTAGCCCCTGAGATATTGGAACACAGCTATCACTTCAATGATAATGATGTCACTGTGCATGTGTTAGCATTCTGGCATCATTGCATTTTGCTACAGTCCTTGTGGTAAGCTCAACAGCCCCTTGTGCATTGCAAATGCTTAGCCCTCTGTCTCTACACTTTCCATACATTTCAGTGGACGCAGTGGCCTGAGGGTACTTGTCCCTGTCATTACTCTTCATCAAAAGTTACATTTTCAAATCAAATTAAATCTAATTAAATCAAATCAATCTTTATTGTGGTCATTAACCAGGACAAAATGCAACACGTTGTGAATGTGCTTCCTGTATTCTTTCTGCTTCATATAGCTGAATATGGAGCCACTGAATTTATTTTTTGTTGCCCTGGAGGGTAACACAAGAATAAGCTGATGGAAAGTTAGATGAAGTAGATGCTGACAAACATTAAGTGATTATTTGATAGTAATTCTCTTTCTTGGAAGGTGATAGATTCTACTTTATGGGCACTGTATAAGTATCTTGTTTATAGACATAAGAGCTACAGTTTCCTTGGCAGGGATCCCAATAGAGATAAGCAAAGATAAATGAATACAGAGAAACTGAAGCAGAAAAAAATGTGGGTTTTTTATGCTTTGGGGTGGATTTCTTGCAGATGTTCCATTACCAAAATACTGTAGGTAACATTATCAAATACGATGATGTTACCTAGTTTGGTAATGGAATGTCTTCAAGAAAACCACCAAGCTCAGAGAGCACCAAGGTTCCTGCAGTTCAATTCTGAGCTACAAATATTATTGTCTATTACAGGAAAAGATCTTACAAAAGAGGATAGCATCTGCAAGAGATGTATGGAGAGCAAACAGTGATGTTTATCATGATGTTATGTGAACATAGGATGGTGAGATGGCTTAGCAATTAAGACACTGCACTTGCCAGCTGGAAAGCTAATAGCCTGGGTCAGAGGCCTGAGCACTGCACGACAGGGGTGAGCCCCCATTACTTATCCCAGCTCCTGTCAACCTAGCAATTTGAAAGCATGCAAATGCAAGTAGATAAATAGGTACCATGGTACAAAAGCTGTGGTAGTGCAGTGGTTAGAATGCAGTACTGCAGGCTAAGACACTGCTCTCTTCTGGAATTTGGTCCTGACTGGCTCAAGATCAATTCAGACTTCCATCCTTCTGAGGACCCAGATTGTTGAGGACAATGTGCTGATTCTGTAAAGCACTTGGAGAAGGCTGTAAAGCACTGTGAAGTGGTATAAAAGTCTGAGTGCTATTCCTACCACTTCAGCAGGAAAGGTTCCATGTTCTGTAATTACATGCTGGGCACATGATGATGTAAGCATCTCTCAGATAATACAGGCTTCCTTGGCTGAAAATCAGCGATGAGTACTGCCCTCGCGTGAGTTGGTCACAAATGAACAGGGGAAACCTTTACACCATGTGCAAATACACAGCCAGTTTGGTATAGAGGTTGAAATATAGGCTACAAACCAGGAGACCATGAGTTTTGGTTCTGCCTTGGGATAAAGCAAGCTGGGTGACCTTGGGCTAATTACTCTCTCTCATCCAGAGGTGGGATTCAAATTTTTAACAACTGGTTCTGTAAGTGTGGCTTAGTTGGTGGGCATGGCTTGGTGGTCATATTATTGGCTGGGCGTGGCCAACTCAACATCACTCACATCGAGGAACGCATCTCCTTGCCTGGCTTCTCATGACTGTGGGGATGCTGCAACAGTCATAAGTGTGAAAAATGGTCATAAGTCACTTTTTTCAGTGCCATTGTAACTTTGAATGGTCACTCCACACAAGCAAAGTACCAGCAAAGGAGTGGGAAAAAAACTCCAGAGATGTTCTTGAGACAGGAAGTCCAGTCCTGCCAAGAATGTAATAAGGGTTAACAGGGAGGCAGTTTCTGTAAGCAACACCAGAATGTTTCCTTCCTGCCTTCTTTACAGGATTAGGCCAGTAATTTCTTCTAACAACTGGTTCTACGAACTGCTTAGAATGTTAACAATCAGTTCTAGCAACTAGGTGAGAACCTCTAGAATCCCACCCCTTCTCTCCTCCCTGGAAAGAAAGCAAGGACAAGCTGTTTTTGAAAATGTTGCCAAGGAAACTGCAGGGAGTTGGTCCTTGTAGTGACCAGGAGTCAGGGCTGACTTGCTGGGCCGTAGCAACAGCATCACTACATCAACTGGAAGGTCTTCTGAAATCTTGCCAAGAAAACTGAACAGGTTTGTATAGGCAGTGGCCAGGAGTCAACAACGACTTGAAAGCACATAAACGCATATGTGCCAAAAGTAGCACTGACATCAGCCACGGTGCAAGAATAAAATTGGGTCATTTCCACAAGGACACCATCAGGCCTGTGGTGTCATTTTGAAGTCATTATGGCTTGTTACAACCACCAAGATTTGTTGAATTAATTTTAGACTAGCAATTGGGAATTGGGGGTATCCAGATTAAAATCTCTGCCTAACCATGGAGCTAAATAAGTTTCAGTTCAGGCAGACTCACTGAGCTGCTACTCAGAGAATAATACCAAGAAGCCCCTCCAGACCTTGGATTTTTTTAAAAAAAATAGATTATAAATCACACCTTTTTTTAAAAAAATAAAAAAATATCATGATATGCAAATTGTGATTTATGGATTTCCATATTTAGTGAAACGAGGCAATTTTGATTTCCTCAATAAATTATAGATAAACAAACCATAGCTTAGTAGGATGCCTGGATCTCTATCGCAGAACAAACTCTCTTGATTGGTCCTAAGTGAATGTTAATTGTGATAAATGTTACAATTGCAGGCTAAGTCAAGCTATGCTTTCTCTTCAAAAGGAATACACTTGAATTCATCGCCATTTGATGAAGCGACCCAGTGGTGGGATTCAAAAATATTTATTACTGGTTCTGTGGTTTGGTGGGCGCGGCAGGGGAAGGTTTCTGCAAAATCTCCATTCCCTCCCCACTCATGGGGGAAGGTTATTGCAAAATCCCTTTCCCTCCCCATCCCACTGACCTGCTTTCCAGCTCCGTTCTCCTGTGCAGGGCAACCAAAGAAGACCAAGCTGGGGCTCAATGGGAGGCAGAGAATAGATGGGGTTGGTGGGGCCAGTCAGAGGTGGGATTTGCCGGTTCTCCAAACTACTCAAAATTTCCACTACGGGTTCTACAGAACTGATCAGAACCAGCTGAATACCCCGCCTGAAGCAACCCCTCTGCAGTTCAACAGTCACCCCTTCCTTTGTCTCAAAAAAATTATGTGCCAGAACATTAGTCTGAGATTCTCAAGTTCTTTTCCCTTTAAACGAAGCTCTGGCATTTTTTTTTTTCAATGTTGCCAGATCAAATGATGGGCGGCCCTGCAAACAATCACCCAAGAGAACTCTACAAGAGGCTGACCTTCACTTTGATGCTATGCTAAGCAGCCTGTCTCCTTTCATGTGCTTTTACATGGTTGAATGCTAATCACTTTCAGGCATTTCTGGGAGAGTCTTGAAGGACCCCAAAGATTTGGAGGCATACAGACTGCATGCTCTTCATTCAGAACCAGGCATTCAGAACCATCAGTTTTTAAGAAGAGGTTGGATAGCCATTTGTCTGAAGTGGTGTAGGGTTTCCTGCCTAAGCAGGGGGTTGGACTAGAAGACCTCCAAAGTCACTTCTAACCAGAGGTGGGATTCAGCTGGTTCTGACCAGTTCTGGAGAACCGGTAGCGGAAATTTTGAGTGGTTTGGAGAACTGGCAAAAAATGCCTCTGACTATCCCCGCCCCCATCTATTCTCTGCCTCCCATTGAGTCCCAATTGATCAGCTGGGTCTTCTTTGGTTGCCCTGCACAGGAGAATGGAGCTGGAAAGCAGGTTAATGGGGTAGGGAGGGAATGGGGACTTTGCAGTAATCTTCCTCCGGAGTGGCGTGGAAATGGGGATTTTGCAGTATTCTTCCCCTCCCATGCCCACCAAGCCACGCCCACCAAGCCACACCCACCAAGCCATGCCCACAGAACCGGTAGTAAAAAAAAATGAATCCCACCACTGCTTCCAACTCTGTTAATCTATTTTGGGACCATGTTTTTTTTTTTTAGTGTGGAATGCCATTTGCTTATGTCACACCCAATGGTTCATATGATCCAACCAAACGGCCCAGACAGTTTTATAAAGCTTTTCTTTTCTCTTTCAGACAGCACAAAACATAGTTTTGATGCTTGCTATAGGAGAGTGTCAGGAATGTAAGTTCGTAAGCTATTATTATTGTGAGTTATTATAAATAATACATTACTTTGAAAGTTAAGAGGGATTTTTTTAAAAAAAATTCAGTCAAATGACAAACAAGACTTTCTTGAGAAGACATAATTAATAGTATAGCATTGTACTGTTGGCTTCTTGGTGTTCTCAGCTCTTAGTTGCTTTCCCACAGACATTTCATTACCAGACTTAATAACATCATCAGTGTACGGGGGAGTGAAGCTTGCTTCCCTTACCAGTCGTGGTCTGAATGTGATTTCTTCCCTGATTTAGGGTATCAATTCTTCACTGATTGGTTAGTTGATGCTGTTTCTTGCTTATCTGGGTGTTGATTGCTGGAGAGGATGAGTTCCTTGATATTTGGTTGTATCTTTTAAACAGCGTGTGGATAATGTGGATAAAGTTTACTTCTTGTTGACTGATTTGTCACAATGTCAAGTTTCCAGGAATCCCCCTTGCATTTTCATCTCATCACTTGAGATTTTCAAGAAGAGATTGGACTTCCATCTGTCAGAAATGGTGTAGTGTCTCCCACTTGGGTGGGGGGTTGGACTAGATGACCTACAAGATCCCTTACAACTCTGATTATCTGTTACCTGTTAAATTTCAGATTCTCCACTGTTGCATTATGAACTGTTTTATTCAAAAACAAATGAAGGTTAGAC